CTTTTTTAAACCTACACTTGAGAAATATAGAATGCTTACAGTGTTAAAGGAAATCAGACTGAGCATGTCTGAAAATTGGTAATGCTGGCTGTGCCTGTCCAGAGTGGATCTGCTTATTCTTCACATGCACAGATGTAAACCAAAACTGGTGCTCCTGAGCGCAGTGGCATCTGTCGTGATTTGTCATCATGATATAGCTACCTGATGTGAATTTTAAATTTAGTTAAGTTTTCACATGTGCTTCACATGAGCATGCCTACCAGATATGATGGAAGCAGTGGAGAGTGAGGCCCAGCTGAATGTAATGTATGCAGTGTATCCTGCCACCAGTAATTATCTCAGGTATAGACTCTGGGAAAAACGCCATTGGTTTAAAACTGAAGTATGAAAGAATGCCTCACTTGGCAGTGGTGCTACGGACTACCTAGCTTTCCTACTTTCACTGTGCTTACATATACAGTGAGTTGAACATCATTTTATCTTTTATCTTTCTTTCTCTGGAGGTGATGCTACAGTAATGAGTTATAAATGAATCTTTACACATTGTTCTCTACAGGAGCATACCTTGTAAAGAAAGACTTGTGAAGCTAAGCTCTAAAAAAAATATTAAAAAGAAGAGTTAAATAATAAGCTGGATGAAAAGAAATTAAGTGTATGTATGTGATTTCTTCTTACTCTGCTCACAAGTAAGAAGGATTTAATATTGGTGTATGATTTCTTATTACTTTGCTCATGATCATGTCTCATGAGCAAGACAGAGAATGTGCCATGTTGTGGTGGTGAGCAAGAAAGCAGTTCAGGTGTTCAGAACAGCCAGGTAGATGTTTGAACTTGCCCTAGATCAATGCTTGAGTTCTCCTAACAGGTGGCTTGCTGAGCTGTGTGCCAAGGTGACATTCGTCCAGGGAACTGCCTGGATGACAAGCTGCTTCAGACTAAGAAGGTCTTTGCTTTGATGAGGAAATTGCCAAAACTCATGTCTCATTAGTGTTTCCTGAGGTTCTTTGGAAGTGAACAACAGTTTAATTAAAGGCTGACGTAAACACGTTTCTGCACACTTTCCCCTCAGCATTTTATCACATTAGAATTGATCAAAATTGTTGCCTTGGGCTGTCCTGAACAGCTATACATCTGGAGTACCATTTGTGCAAGCTGCTGATGAACAGGCTACATACGGTGTGCCTCACAGCAGCTCTTCTGACTTCCTATGTAGACAGATTTACCTTGTTGGGAGATGAGATGATCTAGCTGGTTTTATTTGCATAAGCCCTTTTTTCTTCAATGTGATGCTTTAAAATGTATGACATACCACCTGTTTGGGTGCATGCATACTGTATCTCCACAGTAATATGAGAATAGAGGCAAGGGTGATTTAGAGCAAGACCAAGAATTAAAAATATTTTTAAAAAGCGCCTGTTTTTCACATTGGAAGAAAATTCTCAGTGGGACAGGACACAGTGTCTGATTAATGTTAACCTTTTGATAACTTTGTCCAAGGGCTTTTGGCATTTCCCTGCTTTTCATTTGTACTTAGCACTTTTTTTCCAAAAGTCTAAAAATAAGGCATGCTTGAAACTGTTATATTTTCATTCTCCAAGTAATAAGGATTGGAATCTCACTCCTGAAACTTTGACACAGACGTGAGTGCAAGCAGCCTGTTTTTGTGACCTCTGTTTGTCATTCATTATGTAATTAACAGTATGTAACTAAGCTTTAAGTAGCTACTAGGCTATATCTTATGGTGTGGAAAAGAATAGGCATGTTTTAAAATGAGAAAGATGTGTGTTTTCTATTATGTAGAAGCTACTAGTGAAATCATATGAAGTCCCACTGTCACTTCATCTCATTCTGCTTTATTTAAAGGAACTGTTCCTTACAAGCAAAATTAAAGACAGTGAAAAACTGCTTCGCGTTTTTATTTTTACTTTTTCTGCACTTCTTGTTTCCGTAACTGTTAACTATCCGAAGAAACGTAACTTGTGTGTCTTCCTGTCAGAGCCTTAAGCCTCCCCTCTTGGTCAAGGAGGAGACGGCTGCAGCCTTTCTTCTTAACCTATACAAATAGTTATTGTTCTGTCTCCCCTGTGGACTGCATCTGTTATTTGGCAGTGGCAGGAGCATGAATGCTCTGTTATGATGACCAGGCACACACAGGGAGAGCTGTGAGGGCTGCAGGGTGGGGGGAAGGGGCTATCTGAATTACTTCTTGATGCAAAGTACATTGTTTTAACAAAGAACCTGCGGCCTGCGTTCCAGCCGTTACTCTTTGCAGTTGCCTGTGCTGTATCTAATGAGACTTCTTTTGAAAGCAATTCATGGTGATGTGCTGTGCAATGCACTTTAAAGTTGCTGTTTTGGTGGGTAACAAGTATTTTTATGGCAGTGCTGAATTTTCTATTCCTGACAACCAGTCACATTCACCTTGATGAGGAAACAATCTTCTGTCTAAGAAGTTAATTAAATTTGCTTGGTAATTTATGCTTTTTACTATGTGTTAGCTACAATTCTTACTTCCATAAAGCAAGAAAAGGAATAAATTAAACATTTGTAAAGATAACGCTAGGATTATCATAGTCACCAGTCTCCTTTTCAGTAGATTTTTTTCAAATTAGTGATGCCACTGTGGGGGTTAATGGATGCTCTGATTACATTGCACTTCATACACCATACTTCTTTCAAGCAACTGAAATATTTTGGTTATGGAATACACAACAATTTTTGCTTGTTTAATGAAGTAACAGTCACCAACCAAATTACATCTTCGTTGCATTCCAGAAATCAGAGCTGCTGGTGCATGCAGACCTTCAATAGCTAGGCAGCTCTTTCTTTCTTAAGTTCTTTTGTTAAATATGAACTTTACATAAGGAAAATATTTTCCACTTCCAGCTCATGGTTTGTTTTTTCCTTAGGGAGATTTAAGTGCAGTACTTTCAATTTGGAGTGAGATTAAACTGTTTCTACATCCTCTCTTATGATAGCCCATGTGTGATAGAGTCAACAAGATATTTGTTCACTGATAAGTTCTGTGACAACTACTGATGACTACAGCACTGTAGCAGGAGGCTGTTTGTACAAGCTATTAGGCACACTTGTCCTTTTTTCTGAGACTAACATTATGGTGTTTCTGCAGAGACAGAGATTGTGCATGCACGAAACTACAGTACAAAGACAATAGCTGGTTAATTTTCTTCTGGGCCTTTTAAATCTCTACATCTGTTGTGGAAGTGTGAAAATTTTCTTGCTCGGATGGAAAACCAGGGCTTTATGTGGAGAAGCTATGGGTGTCTTTTGAGCAGAAAATAAAACAATTAAATATTTCAAAATCATTTCACAATTAATGTGCCTTCTTCTCATGGTTTACCTATGCAAAACTCTATTAAAAAAATCAGCCTTGCAATTTTAAAAATTAGTTCTTAGATTAACAGAGTATATTTAGGAAAAAACAGAAGCTGTTTGGCAACTGTGTCCTTGATACCTGCTGATATATTCAAAGGAACAAAGTATTCTTATATTTTCTTTCTCAACAACAATTTATTTACCAAATTTTTATAAGACAGCTAGAGGTGCCTCTGTCAATGCTCAGTGGTTTTGATAACAATATAAAATTGCAACAGATCAGTAGAATAAAAAGCATAGTGTAACTTCTATCACACCCATTAAAACTGAATGAATGTTGAATTTTCCTGTTGTAAAGCAATTCCTCGCTCTTGATGAATGTTTTGCTGAATAAAATCCTTTCCTAGCAGCCCTCTTGAACAGATATATGGGAAATCAGCAGATTTAGTAGTCAGGATAAAATGGGAGCAGGGGAGTTGCATGAGGATGCTGGAGGGGCACTCGGAGAGTCTGCGCTGCGTGCAGTGCCAGTGCTTGTGCTGGTCTTGACCATGGGAGGGGGCAGAGTGGACAAGTGGCCTCTCGGTCCGATGGCTCCTGCTCTAAGTATGGCTTTCAGGGTGAAAACCCCAGTTCAGAAAGCACTAGTGTCAGTAAGGTGCTCATGTTTTGCGGGCCTATCTTTGACTGCCAGGATGCTTGTATGTCTCCCAGAGTACTGCAATGCGGTGTGACAATATTGAGAGTGACAAAATCACTTTAAGAGCTAACATTACCCAAGTAGGAACGTCAGCTGCAACATGGCCCTAGTCCAGTAAAGTACTTAAGAAATGACCTTTGCTTTAAACATAAGTAAGTTAGTCCCATTGATTTGAAATGGAACCCACTTACAATATTGATGTGTGTCCTATAAAAATATTATAATTAACTTTGAAATAATTTGGTGCAAAGTCCAACAAATGTTCTTTAACTAATTTAAACTTTCACAAAGAATCCAATATTTTTTGCCTTATGGAATACCAGTAAACCTGCATGGCAGAAGTAATGCATCCTTATTAGTGTGTTAGCTTCACACAGTGAACTCTGAAGAGAAGTTTTTGTAATAGGGAAGCTGGAAGGAAGAGGTAGGAAGGCTCTACTTGAGATGTGGAAAGTATGAGAAGGAGAAATTAAAGTAACCTTTTTTCTTAGGGAGGTTACATTCACTATGGTTTTGGCAAGGATAAGGGATGGGTTTTGAGGTAATGAAATAATAAATACCATAAACCAGCAGTTACCCTACCTACCTGAGTTTAGGCATTCCATTTAAAAATGCAGTAAAGATTATCTAGCTGTTGAAGCATCAGATGATTTGGTGATGTTCTGGGGAGCCGAGAAGTGTCTAGGGTGGTTCTAAGGACATGCATTTCTTCACTGTTTGGTTTGTCTGGTATGAAAGGAATGTATTTTCTGTTTTGCAGGAGAAAGACAAGTTAGGGGATTATTATTCATTCTCAAGTTTGAAAGCAATAGTTTAAAATAAGTTTATTGGTCACAGGGGAGTTGGGTCACCAAACACTCTTTGTGCAAGAACAGTAAAAATAAATATCTTCAGCCTACAAAATTGTACGTCCTGAGATGGGCTTCTAAGCTAAATTTGATGTTCCATTGTTTTTCTGTTTCAGATATGTCTTCTCCTACAATGAAGAAACCTGAAAAGCCTTTGTTTAGTCCTACTTCGCCCCAGGATTCTTCACCAAGACTGAGCACTTTTCCCCAGCATCACCACCCAGGAATCCCAGGAGTTGCACACAGTGGTGAGGATTATGGGGGAGGAAGAAATAACTCCCTGTTTATTTGGTCTGCTCTCCTTTCCTACAATCAGACTGTGTAGGTAGCCTGACTGCTGTAAGTCACTGGAAAGTATTAAGGATTAACCCCTGAGTAAAATAGGTTGTAAACAGAAAGAAATTGACAGAGAAAACATCATTGTCATCTTTCCTCCTTCCACCTGCATAGTTTTTTTTTAATTGTTGCTGCAACTTTACTGTATTTAAATACTAGAACACAAATGATTTAGTACACAAGAGAAGTCACAACCACATTCACTATGTAACACAATGAAATAAGTACCAGTGGTTCTTCTGAATGCTCTGTCAAAGAGGTAGAATCCTGATAAATATTTTTCTACATCTATTTTCTGAAATACCTTGTAAATCCATGGTAAAACTTCATTTAAAGATTGAAAGAGACACTTGAAATGTGACAGAGTGCTTGTTATCTTGAGGGTTTATCATAAATGATAGGGAAATTCCAGAATCATGATCTGTTTAATTTTAGAGGTGAGAGTGACCCTGATTCTTCAGATGAGAACATGGTCCTCGGAAGTCTTCCCTTAGCAGCTCATTATGTCTCCTTATAAACTACATACAAAGGAATTAAGTTCTTGGGCATAGATTGATGACTAGAGGAGTAAGACACATTTGAGGATTCTTTATTGTTTTCTTTAACATGCAGTTCTGTTTTGAGAATTTCTGTTTTGTGACTTCTCAATGAAATCGAATTACTCTCTTTCAGGTCACGTGTAGCAACTATTTTCCCCCTAATATCCACTTACTTTTTGTTATGAAAGTGAGCCTGGACTCCGTCTGGTCTCTGTAATGTTTCCACTATCAGAAAATACTTGAGCACATCAGAGATGATGAATTAAATGGAAAGTGTAGATTTCTAGTAGTGGTTTGGGTTTTTTTTTGCACAATTCCCACCTATCAGAGCAGTAACTAAAGTTTTTTGATTGTGCTGACCTGCTAGGGCTATGATTAAAATGAGCTTGTCAAAAAGAAGTTTCTGTATTTTTTTTGACATTATAGTTATGTATAAATCTTTATATTGGCTTTAGTGCATGTTCTTTCAGATATGTGTATTTCGGTGATAGTCATAATCTAATTTTGTACTTGCTAGGAAACCTGATTTCTATCTGTATAGCATGTTCTATAATATCAGGGAGCAATACTTTTGAGATTTGCAAGGTTTTGATTACCAAGTGCAGGAATTTTGGAACATTTCTACTCTTGTTTTTTTCTTGGGCAAACTATAACTTTGTCCCAGCTCAAATATAGCATGTCATCTGAAAAACTGAAAGTTTTGAGATGTGGTCCAGAAGAGCAGTGTTGGTGTGCTTGTGCTGATACAGCATAGAACCATGAGCAGTTTTTGAAATACCTTGCTTATACAGACCTTTTTTTGTACCTTTCCACTAATGAAAATGCAAACACTATTCTCTTTTCTCCATTTCATGGAATCATAAAATCATAAAGGTTGGAAAGGTTCCTAAGATCATCAAGTCCAACCTACAGCCCTACACCACCCTAACACTAAACCGTCTCCTGAAGTGCCACATCCAGCCGGGTTTTAAACACACCCAGGGATGGTGACTCCACCACATGCCTCGGCAACCCATTCCAATGCTTCACCACCCTTTCGGTGAAGAAGTTTTTCCTAACATCCAATCTAAACTTCCCCTGACACAACTTGAACCTGTTCCCTCTTGTCCTATCTCTGTTCCCTAGGGAGAAGAGGCCAACACCAGTCTCACTACAGCTGCCTTTCAGGTAGTTCTAGAGAGCAATAAGGTCTCCCTTCAGCCTCCTCTTCTCCAGGCTGAACAGCCCCAGCTCCCTAAGCCTCTCTTCATAAGACTTACCCTCTAGTCCCCTAATCATTCTGGTTGCCCTTCTCTGTACCTTCTGCAGCATCTCGATGTCCCTCCTGTACTGTGGAGCCCAGAACTGCACCCAGTACTCGAGGTGCGGCCTCACCAGTGCCAAGTACAGGGGCACAGTCACTGCCCTGGTCCTGGTGGCCACACTATTCCTAAT